ATGCAAACGGCATTCAGAAAGGCCCTGTTCCGACCAGAATTCGAACCCAGGACCTTCTTGCTGAGAAGCGACAGTGCCATCCACTCAGCCAGTAAATTCAATGTATTCTTGTATAGCCCTGAATCACAACAGTAGTTTTCTCGGAGGACTTTACACAACACTTTGGCCAACACAGATCAGAGAATCAAACCGTTCAAAAAAAAGGAAATGAAACAGAAAAAAACATTAGTGTTGGTCCATAAGGGGCAGATGACCAATGTCCATACAGTAAGTATTGATAAATGTAAAATTCTACAGGATTGTATAAAATGCATCTGAACACAAAAAGTAAGGTTCCAAGTTGCAGAAATAAGATTGAGGCAGCAATTGACTTGGCGTTTATTTTCTGTTTTTTAGAAAGAGTGGGAGTTTCAGGGATTTTTCAACACAAATCGAGTTTCTTAAAAATGAATGGAGTTCTACAAGTTAAGCACAACTGGAGTCTGAGGTCTATTTTTCCCGATGCCGATGCGGGAGAAACTCAGGACAGTGACGATCCAGGGCTGTACAGAAATAACTTGGATTGGACTGAGGCCAAATACGACAGGAGCTACAGTAGACAAACGGTTGCATTCAAGTGTCAAGAATCAACCAATCCGATATTAGATATGAACTGTACGTAACTTAACTTGCCTTGGCTTGTTTGTGTCGCTCTGCCGGGTAAAAGAGAAAATAAAAACCACAGCATTGATGTGGTTTGAGAGAGACGTCATATGTTTTGACACTAATGTTAATTTACTACACACCCTCAAAAGTTCTGGCAAATCGATTTGACTCTTTGAACTGTGTGTACTGTACAAGAGAAGGCTGAAAGAGGAAAAAAGTGCATATCATCTGGATGTTTTTGTTTTGTTATTTTTGGAGACAGTTAGGCCATTTAATTTGTAACCTTTATACGACAATGGGGAGGAATTTATTAGATTATTTTGTATTCATCCTACTCGGAATGTACTACTGTTGTACTTGCTGGATTGAAGTGGTGTTTTGGTGTATTCCCATGAAAAAACTGACAGTCAAAGAAGACATCAAAGAGGACAGGACAGGAACGTACAAAAACTACAAATATTCGTTGCTTTTCCCTGATCTTTCACTGATGTTTTGTGTCTGGATTGGCCAAACCAGTCTCTGATATTGTTTTAGCTGGTCAAACCTTTGTGTAATATTAAGTAATTTATACACAAGGTACAAGATTAAGATTAAGATTGAGAGAAAGAGAGAGATACTTTATAAATACACAAGATAAATGAACAATTACTCTATGTTAAAAGAACATCAGCATAAGAAATCACTAGCTTTAGCATGATAAGGAAGCAAATCTAAAATCTCCAACTTTTGCATAGATAAAGATTCAAAGATAAAACACAAGTCCTGAATATTAAAATAATAATCCAAATGTTCTTATGGCTCTGTGCGGCCGGTTCTGATACTAATCAAATATCATCCCGAGGGCCAGGATAATTCATTCGCAGGCCCGATCTGGCCTTGACTTTGACGCCCATGTTTTAGCTAGTAGCACTTTTGTGTGATGTAAAGTAGTATATACACAAGGCTAAAGAAGACAGGACAAGATACAAAAAACTACAAATGTTCGTAACTTTTCCAGAACTTTCCCTGATGTTGTGTGTCTGGATTAGCCACAGCAGTCTCAGATATTGTTTTAGCTGGTAGCACCTTTGTGTAATTCGGGAAGCCGTGTTCCCTTCCATGTGTGTTTTGTCTGAGAGACGGGGAGAGAAAGTTTATCAGAGGAGACGTGTCAATTAGCTCCAGGGTACAGAAGGCAAAGGCAGGGGTCAGGGGCCAGCGCGGGGCCAATCGTCAGCTGTCACTAACTATAAATACTTACGCTGCTTGTGTTTGTGCGTCTGTGTGTGTGTGTCTGCATGTGTGTGTGTGTCTGCGCTCCAAACACATGTCCCACAAACATTAGGCTCCCATATGTTTAGAGGACATTCCAATAATTTTAATTTGAGACTAAACTGGAGCAAAACCACAGCGAGCCCGAGTGAAATGTAAGGAAAGCCGAGGGAATAGAAAGGGCTCAAATTTAAGGATTTACATGAGCACGATACATGGACCAGCACAATACATGGACCAGCACGGTACACAGACCAGCACGGTACACGGACCAGCATGGTACACGGACCAGCACGGTACACGGACCAGCACGGTACACGGACCAGCACGGTACACAGACCAGCACGGTACGGTACACAGACCAGCACGGTACACAGACCAGCACGGTACACAGACCAGCACGGTACACAGACCAGCACGGTACACAGACCAGCACGGTACGGTACACAGACCAGCACGGTACACAGACCAGCACGGTACACGGACCAGCACGGTACACAGACCAGCACGGTACACAGACCAGCACGGTACACAGACCAGCACGGTACACAGACCAGCACGGTACACAGACCAGCACGGTACACAGACAGACGCACACGTACCAGCACGGTACACAGACCAGCACGGTACACAGACCAGCACGGTACACAGACCAGCACGGTACACAGACCAGCACGGTACACAGACCAGCACGGTACACAGACCAGCACGGTACACAGACCAGCGGGATGTGCTTCATTCTGCAATTTTCCGTGAACTTTTGCATTTGTGTTTCATTATGCTCATACTTGAAAAGCGTAAAAGTAGTCGGAATCAGAATTTTTATTATTGCCATTGTAAATAACAGGAAGTCACAAACTCGGAATTTTCTTTGGCTCAAGGTGCAAACAAATTATAAAAGTGTACAACTATGTACAAGTGCACACTAAGTACACAAGTGACAGACGTAAAGGTGAGTAAATAGGTAAGTGTGTTATTCAGTCTGACCTCCGACATCCATTCTCTCTCAGTAGGACTCTAACTAGCAATTTTTTTGAAAACCAATTAATTAATGCATTGTTAAGAATGAAAATATGAGATTGTTTCAACATTTGACTCGGATAAAGCTGAAGTCGAGTCACCTCATGTTAACATATTATCAGACATTTTGTATTATTGTTATAATTAAGATATTAGCCCCGTTTCCACCAGTCCAACTCTACTCTACTCTACTCTACTCTACGTAACTTTACTCTACTCTCCTACTCTACCTCACTCTGCTCTACTCGATACCAGGTACTTTCTTTTAGTGCCTCTCGGTCCTGGTTCTATCCAGGCAGAGCTGATAGTGTTTGTAACTGACCAGAGTGCTGCTGGAGATGATCATACATAATCCGTTTAAGAACTAACTGTTTGTAGCGTCAGACTAAAGTGAGCTAGTGGGAGGATCGCGAACACTGAGGGAACACAAAGATGGCACAAAGAAGATCATCTTTTACTTCTTTCTGCTGAGGTTGCATTGGTTCTAAAATGAATTGAATAAATATACAATCAAATTAAATAAATATGAAACGGTATATAAAGGTATTATACGCCGTGTGGTGGTGAGTTTTCAGATGTTTGATCAAGTTGCTGATGTTATACGTGTTTGTTTTGGACCCACCTCGTGACAGAATGGTCTTACACAACGCACAGTCCGCTTTACCCTTGTCACTCGTTTACTTTAAAAAACTGCCATTCGGCCGTAATCTGCTTGCCGCTAGCTTTCTGCTAAACTACCGGCTAAGCTAAGCTAGCGGCAAGCACTTTCTCGCTGTCGTGACGCTAATGAATTAAAAACGTGGGTGTCGGCTGCGGGTATCGGGTCCTATGGTATGAGTACAAGTACAAGTACAAGCATATGGTATCGACCCAGTAACCGATACCAGGTCTGTATTGGTGCATCCCTAAATAATAAAAATAATAATAATAATAATAATAATAGTAATAATAACTTGCATCACAAGTTTCAGTGGCTTCACAAGTCAAAGAACAGTAGGAATAATGCACTGCTTTGAATGCCCAAAAGGCTCAAAACAAATTTCTCATATCACTCAAGACTTGCTTCTCAACTCAAGCATCAGTTTCTATTTTTCTATCGAGATGAAAAATAATAAAAATCATAGTAAGCGACCCACAACAAAAGCAAAGCAGGACTTCAAACAGAGGTGAGGAGCAGCCAGTCTGCGACCCACATGTGTTAGTGATTGGCTTTAGGACGGGACCGGCCGGCTCTTCCCAGGCAGCCGTGGAAAAGAACACTCCACAATTCATTGCTTCCTTCTCGCCAAATTAAAGGTCCCTTGTTAAAAAATATGGGAGGAGTGTCGGCGTGCGGGGATTCACGAGGAGAGGGCCAAAACAAGGGGCTTTTATGACAGGGCCAGAGTCCTCCAGAGCCGAACCTAATATCTGTGAGAGTGTCTGCGGAGAGGGGCCGCTGTGCGCAATATTTACTTATCGCAGGTTCATTTGTTTGATTAATACCTGGGTTTTAAATGGAGCGAAGCATAAAGGTTATAGATTTACAGGGCCCCAAAGTCACATTCAGTCTGTTTAAACGTACTCTGGCCAAAAGCTGTGGAACTAAAAAGAGGGGGAATTACAGTGTACCCCATGTGAAGATGTGCCGGTTTCCTTTCAGACCACTGTTTTACTGTCTTTTCTGTTCTAACTTGGGGAATACAAACTTTTTGTAATTTCTCCCTCGGTTCCGCTGTAGGAAGACATGGACTCACATTTAACACAAGAATCTCGTCAAAATGAAAGGTACAATAGATGAAACGATTGTATTGCATATGCTACTTTCTGGAGAATCATTCCAAATGAACTGCTCAATTTCTGAATCTGAATCCATACGGTCTCTTCTGTATTAGGAGGAGGTGGAGGAGGAAGAGGAAGAAGTGGAGGAGGAGGAAGAGGAGGAAGATGAGGAGGTGGAAGGGAAAGAAAGAGGAGGAGGAAGAAGAGGAGAATGTGGAAGAGGAGGATAAGGAGGAGAAAAGGAAAGAAAGAGGAGGAGGAGGAAGAAGAAGAATAGGAGGATGAGAAAGAGAAGGAGGAGGAAGAAGAAGAAGAAGAGGAGGATGAGAAAGAGGAGGAGGAGGAAGAAGAAGAAGAGGAGGATGAGAAAGAGAAGGAGGAGGAAGAAGAAGAAGAGGATGAGAAAGAGGAGGAGGAGGAGGAGGAAGAAGAAGAAGAGGAGGGTGAGAAAGAGGAGGAGGAGGGGGAGGAAGAAGAGGAGGATGTGGAAGAGGAGGATAAGGAGGAGAAAAGGAAAGAAAGAGGAGGATGAAGAAGAAGAAGAAGAGGAGGATGAGAAAAAGGAGGAGGAGGAAGAAGAAGAAGAGGAGGATGAGAAAGAGGAGGAGGAGGAAGAAGAAGAAGAGGAGGATGAGAAAGAGGAGGAGGAGGGGGAGGAAGAAGAGGAGGCCCCTGGGAAGACTCAAGACAAACTGGGGTCATTAGCCACATTTTTACTCAACTCTATTTTCATTACTCAATAGTTGGTTCCGTAAACTAGCAATCTACTCACAACAAACCAGTATTCAGGGAACTTCCTTGGTAACCATGGCTTCTTTAGTACCAGCTCGGCCTAGATAGAACCAGGACCAAGCAGGTACTGAAAAAGTACCTGATACCAGTTTAACAGGACAGTGGGAAACGTTACCAATTGCGATAGAGTAGAGTAGAGTAGAGTAGAGTAGAGTAGAGTAGAGTAGAGTAGAGTAGAGTAGAGTAGAGTAGAGTAGAGTAGAGTAGAGTAGAGTAGAGAAGAGTAGAGTAGAATACAGTAGAGTAGGGGATTGTCAGAATAGAAGCCTGTCTCACATTTTCAGGAAGACTGTTGCAGATTTTAGCTGGATAAATGTGAAACGCTGCCTCCCATAATAGAATAAAGTAAAAGTCCATAGTAACGCCTTTTCATTTCATTTTTCTGTATCGTTGTATAATTACTTTTTATTATTAGAATCAAACTGGTTTTACACAACGGCTGCTTAAAAACAATGTCCCATAAATAAACCAAATGAGCAAAACAAACAAAAGCGTTGTACACAGCCAAACGCTGCGTACACTGAGCAGAACACGGCTTTCTAATTACCCCCGTATCTGCTCGTTACCCCGAGGAACTTTACGAGCTCTCAACAGCGTCTGCACGCCCAATCCAAGCGTTAAATTTACAAACTGAACAAGTGGCCATGAAATACATTAGACTAACAGTCGAGTCCCAGAGGCTCAGTCGGGGCGGTCCTAATGCAAAAAGCAGCATGGAGGGCGTTGAACTGGCCTCTCTCTCCCTCCTCCATCTCTCCCCCTTTCGCTATAATCTCTATTTCCTCCAGAGCCATCCCATAGGAAGTGCTCTCATGTCCCCCCTCTCCCCCCTCCACGACCACCACATGTTGCTCTGTTGGACATGTTGATGCTTATCGGTCTGAGAGAAGTGGATTTTCAGTTTACCTCCTTGAGTTTTTGCAATGTGGAGGAGAGACCAGGAGAGACGAGGGCTGTAATACGCACCATTTATCAACACAGACCAGATTAGTGAGAATGTATGGATGAGACTCCCATTTGGGTCGTGTAGAGCCAATAAGAAGCAGTTGAAGTAAGTATTATTGCCGTACAGACCTGGGTCTTTTCTGGCCGAGGTCATTTAGAGTTTTGGGATCACTTTCTACAAATAGTATGATCCATAACATTAGCAATAAAGCAGTAACTTTTCCACAGAAATGCTGATAAACTAACTCTGCTCACTGTGTTGTATGTAAGGCCTGTTAAAACTCAGCTGTGTCCTCTGCCGCTCACACAAAGTTGCCATTGAGTGTCATCCAGCCTCCTTCAGCTCCATCAATTCAGTGGTGGTAAAGCTTAGAACCTTTGTAAAGTTGTTTGTGTATGCTGACATGTGTTTTATTGTGTAGAAGGCACTAATGTAGCTGTTGTGTGAATCAATATACACACATCATGCCATATTTTAGAGTCCAGAAGAGCCCGAATCCAGTCCAAACAGTTTTACAATCCAATCTCCAGGACATTTCTTGGTAACTGAAGTGGCCCTCTCACAAAAAAGGTATAAGCCAAAGTAGTCTAGCTATTTCTATAAAGAACTTCAGGCTAGTTAGTGTATTGGGTGACTGGAATGGACACATGCTAGTTTGAAACAGCCACAAGTCTCAAAGAATGATACTTACAATACAATATTAGTTCTCTTAAAGCTTTCATCCTAATAGAAAACATTTTATCTTTTACATATAAATAGCTGATTGAGGCTGGTCCTCTTTCTGTCTGAAAATCTGCTCTAAAGATGTGACAGAGGACAAACACATATGCACGAGAAGAAGAACTCAGTCAAACAGTATTGAGAGCGAGGAACCAGCTACATTGATTTTATGATATAGTTATTATTGTGGATTTGGGCACTCCGGGTTTAAAGAAGCTATACCCGATTTTTTTTCTAAGCAGTTCATAAAAATGCTTTTTACTACATACAAGTTGTATCATAACACATCATTTAATTGAAAACTTGAGGTCAATGATTTAGCTGTGTATGAAATTTATGCCGTGAAAAGTGCTGAGTGGAATCTGAGCGGGCCGCTCTTTCTCCTCCGCTCACAGAACGAGCAGCGAACAGCCTGCGTCCTCTAGCCCCTACAGCGCTGCTAAACACCAGGGCTTCGACTTCAAAATTTGAATATAATTCTAAAATAAAAAAAATATATATATATTCGAACAAATATTAGACAGCCCTTATAATTCGAAATGTATTTAATGACTGCAAATAAAATAGTTAGCTCCCAAAGGTTTCACCGGGACGTGCTAGGCAGGTAACAGCTAAGCTAGCTAGCTGTTTCATGGTAACTTCCGGGTTTTTCGCGATCGCTTTTTGTCACATTAAAACAGTATTTTTGTCATGAAAACGTTGACAGCAAATTCTGAAATCGTCCGTGCATGTGTGTTATGGATGTATATGTATACTGTATTGTCCGATTAACGTTTAATGGTGTTGATTGATTGATATGTATTTGTTTATTGAGCGTGGCTAGCTCCGCTAGCTTCTCTACACAGACAAGTGTGTAGAGAAACTGCACAGTGTAGTGACAGGCGCTGATAGCTTGTACTTGCAGAGTAATGTTAGTATTTTACACACCTGAATTACAAACAGAGATTGCATTGGGGCTGCGGTCATTATTGATTTGAGAGTTCTGTTATCAAGAAAAAAGGGAAGAAGAATTGAATGCAATCGGAAGAATTGCATTCAATTCAACAGAGTGTTCTACTGCTGCTGTGAGGAGCTGTATAATAAATTATAATTAAATATTAGAATATATTCTAATGTTTAAATTAATACATTCGGACGCGAAACTAGCGGTATTCTTTTACTTATATATTGTGTTAGCAGTGCATTGCTTTAGTGCCATTTCATCAGTGATTGTTGCACAGCTTACAAGTTACGCTAATGCTAATGTTAGCATACGTATCAGATCGCAAATAAAACTAGGTGGCTCTGTGTAATGAGAGCGTAGGGGAAATGAGAAGCCTGTGAGCGAGTTGGGGGGCGGTGCTAAACATTCAAACGGGTATAGAGATATCTCACGTGACGTCACGATGCCTCGAACTCGCGGGGCATCCGCCATACTGGAGGACAAGCAAACGCTGTATGATAGTGGCGTGCACCCGGGACCGCATACACATGTTCTAAATGTTTGCCGTTTTTGGCTGCAGCAAAAGGAGAGACAGGGAAAATAAGTTGTGTTACCGACTGCCAGCCGTCCTTACTTCACACGGCTCAAAAACAGAAGAAATCTCAAAGAAACGAGAGAGAAATGGCACAACCATAAGCAACAACAAAAAACTAATAGCCCCCAGAGCGCCCGAATATGCTCGGATCATTTCATTTCTGCTAAGTGAAATCAATTTGATGGCGGATTTAGTGTTATTCCGAAACAAACAGAAGTTTAAGGATAAAGCATATCTGTCTGACTGCAACGTGGGGTTGCTCCATAGACTGTAGCTTAGCTTGTAGCATAGCTGTTATATATTTGGTCTCACACAGGACCTCACCCGGTTCACAGGGTATCTGACTTACCGAAGGCCAGCAGACATGTGAACGACTGAGCCGTGCTCGAGGGTGCCCCGTACTAGTATTTATTAATAAAATATACGGCTCCTCACAGTAGACGCAGAAAGCTCCATTGATTTGATGTAATCTCATTATTTCCACTGCAGTGTAGCCACACATAGATCCATGGTGTAACAATAAACACATTAAATGTTAATCGGAGAATACATTATACATATACATTCTTAATACACGTGCACAGAGGTTTTTAGAATTTTCTGTTCACGTTTTTATGAAAAAACACTCTTTTAATGCGACAATATGCGACCGCGGTAAACCTGGATGTAACGATAAACATTAATAATACATTTTAGGACGCATTTTCAGAGGATCTGATTCATGAATTTAGGTTGAGTATATATTTGGGTCACTAACTGCAGAAGTTTCAAATTCTCTGTTCAGTTTTCATGTAGTTCGAGAGAGTTCTAGTTTTGAACGTCCAGTTATAGATAGCTAGCAGGGCTGTTACTCGCCGAGGTTGTCCTCCAGTATGGCTGCCGTGGCTGCTAGTCACGTGACCGTAGGATCCCTCTATAGCGCCTTTAAAGTGTGCTTTTTGTGGTCTGATAAAAAATTGGAAACAAACCTGCAAAACGCACAACAAAATAAAATTATGAGTTTTAAATCAGTGTTAAGTCTTACCATGAGAACCGAGGATGCTCAAACAGTATTATGAGGAGAATAGATAGTATAATAGTAACTGATGAAACTTGATTTTCATACCTCCACACTCTCCATCCTAATGTGCACCGAACGCCTCAATCCTAAATAAAGTTTTAGAACAACAAATAGTGCGCTCCCAGTGTAATCGCGGTGAGCACAGAGCAGCAGATAACAGAGAAACATGCACTTCCAAACATCTCATCAACGCTTTATCCACACAAACAAACTACTGTTAGCGACGTAGCAACACTCGGTTGGTAGAGTTACTGCAGAGCTACATGAGCACAATGTGAGACTTCAGGACGACGTTGAGAATCGCAAATGTAAAGGTCCTAAAGTGGGAAGGACCAGAGAATTGGTATTTATCAATAATTACTATGTTATTGTACATTAATATTATGTATTACTTAAACCAAGAACTTGTAATCGCACACACACGCGCATATACAGTACATAGACATATACGCACACACAGACACACAACAGAGACACCCACAAACAACAGAAACATATGCACGCACACACACACAAACACACAAAGATACAGACGCACACACAGTCAGACACTATCACACAGCCACACAGAGAGAAAGGTATGCGCACGCACACACACACACACACACAGAGACACTATCACACAGACACACAGAGAGACAAGCATGGGCACACACACACACACACACATAGACACAGAGACAAAGACACACACAGAGAGATGCGCATACAGTCAGACACACTGAGAAAGAGGTACACAATATCACGCACAGAGAAATAGACACACTCAGACACAGGAAAGCACACACAAAAGACATGAGGTGTGTGTGTGGGTCCTCCGTGGTTGTGTTAATGGGGTGTGTAGGAGAGAGGCAGCATCTTCTCCCCCACACACACAGCCCCTCCATGGGTCACAGCGACTGCCCAGGGCCCCGAGGAGCCCCACAGGATGGAGAGAGTCAGATGTAAAAAGCAGGTGAGGGACAGTGATACATGCTGTAAAGGACACAGCAGGAGAATGGAAGTACGCCTGGAGGAGACATGTTGTTATAATACATGTTGTTGGTCTTGGGGATTTGTTATGGACATTTAAAAGAAAGAATGGGGTGAGGCTAATCTAACGTCGCTGGCACTTTTCATCAACATTCTCCAACGAGAAAAATGATTGATGTCAAAGTCAGCACCAGAAAACTTAGATCTCCAAATTGCTTCCATAAATATTGTGTGTATTAAGATTATCAAGTCACTCAGCAGCAGCTCCAGAGATGGAACCCTAACCCTAACCCTCACGAGGATCAATAAAGTGAAAGAGAAAAGAGAAATGTGTCAGAGAGAAATGACAAGACAATAATTATGATCTGATCTTTCGTATTTCCATCCAAAATCCAAATGTCCATTCACTGAGCGCTTGAGTGTCATATACATACAGGGAATACAGTGACAGACAGAGCCAGACAGAGAGACACAGAGACAGAGAAAGAAAGAGAGACACAGAGAGACACAGAGGCAGAGAGAGAAAGAGAGACACAGAGGCAGAGAGAAAAAGAGAGACACAGAGACAGAGAAAGAAAGAGAGACA